TGTCTCTTTCTCTCGCTCTCTCTCTCTCTCTTTTCCCTCCTCTCTCTCCCCTCCTCTCTTCCCCCTCCTTTCTTTCTCTCTCTCTCTATCTATCTCTCTCTCTTCTCCCTCTCTCTCCCCTCCTCTCTCCCCCCTCTTCTCTCCCCCTCCTCTCTTTCTCTCTCTCTCTACCTATCTCTCTCTCTTCCCCCCTCTCTCTCTCCACTCATCTCTCTATCTCTTTCTCTCTCACGTGTGCAGAAACACGAGGCCGAACGTTAAAATCTTATAACTCTTAGAAAGCAGCAGAGAATATGTGTGTTTTACAGGCAGGACGTTTAAGAAAAACTTTTAAAAAATGTAATTAAATTAATATAAGTAGTTACATGAAGTGACAAGAATTAAAAAGAAATAACAATAATTACATATGGCGTTTCTACAACGCTCAACCCCGATCAAAGTATTCAGGCTCTGGGTTCTTTAAAATATGAGTACAACAGCAACACAATATGGTCCACTTTTTAGGACCAGCGGGCTAACCCAGATTTCGGGGATTTCCAGAAATTTTGACCTACACCAAAAGTGGACATTGCCCTACCTATAGGAGAAGTTTGGTTTCATTGGTGTGTATATTTGTTTGGTTATAGAGAAAACTCTCTATGTCTTTTAGAGAAACTGAACATGTGTCCAAAAAGTTTACCGTCGGTTTTTTTCCAAACTGCATTTTTCGGGATAGCCCCCTTGTGCTTAAAAGCGAGCATATAATCAGTACATTCTGTTCTGTCCAGACAAAAATCACACTCTAAATAATCAATTCATTGATTGAAAAACAGAAACGACTTTTGCAAACATGAGATTGAAATAAAGGATTCGGTCTCTCTTAAATTACTGAACAAAATCTTTCCAGATCTAGGGTCCTTGACATTCAAATGCCCTTTCACCCACTATTTTAAATTGTATGGATGGTAATAGAAAACACCCTCTTAAATGAACGTGCGATCGTGAACTTTTATTTCATTGTGTATTTTTAGTGAACGCTTTTCCAACCTCACTGCGAGACTGTTTTTCTCATTAAAAAATTTTACACATAAAAATAAAGATAATGGATAACATTTGTATAGCGCAAATCCACGCTCAACAGCAAGCTCTATGTGCTTCACAATCTATACTATTACCCCAGCAGACCTGAGAGCATTCTGAAATAACTTCAACTTCCTGGGAAGCCTACAGTGCAAGCAGCCATTTATAAGAGCTAAAACACTACATGCTGACAAGGTCTTTCGCTGTCTATGGCGGGTACCCATTTCCACCTAGGTGAAGTGAGGAAAATTCGGGTAAAATGCCTTTTCCCAAAGACACAACGTCGGACCCGCGGCTCGAACCCCCGACCCCGCAACCTCTCGATAGCGAGTCCGATAGCTGTAGAAATTGAGGCCACTATCATAATAGTATTATGGTCAATGATCTTTCCTAAGAAAGTCCGGGTTATCCTTACTATCGTCATTTTCCTCTACTTCTTTTATATGCCTGTCACTCTTATGACCCGCTTTTTCTGGGGTGCCTTGAAAGTCGAAGCAGACTTTGGGTTGTTGAAGCTAGAGAAGTGAGCAGAGTAAGTCTGATTCCCTGTAAGGACTTGTCTGTTGACATCCACCCCTTGGCGCTCATATGATCTTATGCAGTTGTGAGCGCCGTAAAACCTCTACTAAAACAAAAAAACAAAAGTCCGGGTTCGAGCCTGGGTTGGACACAGATTTTTTTCGTGCCCGCCTGCCCACCCAGCAGTAATGTGTTGGGGAAGTAAAGGCGGTGTGGAAACGAACTGGACAGCCTACCACAATATGCCGAAGGCCCAGGAAGTTGTCTCACGAACAAGGCAATCCCCAATGTCCTGATCAGAAGTGGGAACAACTGTTTTTAACCTTTCCTAAAGATGTAACGAACTATACGATGAACTAAGGAGTGAAACTCACTTCATGGTGTTGTCTGCTGCTTCTTTCCTATGATAGGTCTATCGTCCTTATCTTTCTTTTTTGTGTTTCTTACTCTCTTGTAACGCCTCTAATCTTCGGCGCTTATATGGCTTAATTGTGTTATGAACTCTGCAAAATTGTTACTGCAACAAAAATATTCAAGAGTTTGTATTTTCTTTTCCTGCAAGTCCAACACTTTAACTTTCGACATGAAAGCTCCTTCCGTTACATGAGCGTGTTGATGGAAAGATAAACTGATGGTTGAGAAATCACAAAACGGATGCAACAAAATTCAGAGCTCCTAGAATGAAATTACGATCTTTTGGAGAGAAAAGCTTCTTATCTTTTTGGCCCCAAAATCTGTAACACCTTGCCTCAGGATCTCTGAGAAACAACACGTCATTTTGATAGGTTTAAGCCATTGCTCAAGACTCATTTGTTTAATGGTTAGTTATAGTGTGTATGAAAGTTCTGATTTTTTATAAAATGTGTGTGTATGTGTGTGTGTGTGTGTGTGTGTGTGTGT